ACTTAAGAACCAGACAACATTTTAACTATTTTTGCACAGACCAAAGTGCAAAGCAGTGAAAATCATCAGCAGGCAATCGTTCGGTGAACGGAATTGCACCAAACACATGATCGCACCGGCTGCCCTGGTGCAAGTCACTATTTATTTCTGACTGAGACGAAAATGTCCCCCAAGAGAAACTCATTAATTTGACTGAAATGATGGCGACTAACCGGGCTAACATCGCCGGTTGGAGGCAGTATCCGTAAACAGTGGCATACATTGAGGAACAGTTTGTTTTGATCCATGCTGCGCCCTTCGCTGAATTCCCAGTCTTCCTAAAAGCATGTATTTGGTTAGCATTGCTGAAAAGTCCCTCGAAGCCAGTAAACAGTAGAAAAGCAGGACATCTGGATTACACATGCATTCTTCTTTCTAAATATTAATTATGCAAGCAAATGAAGCCAGAGGGCGAGCGCCGCATCCTGGTACTGCTCACAAGGGAATTACTGCTGCAGCACACTTTACTCGCTGCTGTGATGGGATATCTACAGTGATTTCATGTACCTGCGTCTGAAGTACAAGGCAGGATGAGGTAAATTTTCATGCGATAGGTGTTCAAAAATCAAAAAAACGTTTATTGCATCCGTTCGAGAAAAAATTCACCAGCTGAAGCCATAATCTTTCAAAAATAACTCTTTCTCGTAGCTAAACCTTGGTTACATTCCCAACATCCACGTAATCTTAGCCGCAAAAGGAACAGAAACATATCGAATATTTGTGTAAAAAGCATCTTCAACGGCTTAACAATTATTTTTAGCAAGGTTAACTGAATTATTTCTTTTGTTAATACGAAGCGAACGTACCTTTCGGAACTTTACAACGTAACCCGGTTCCGGACGCTCATTTCCGACATTTTTCGCCTCGTTAAAAGCAGCACCGACGCAGCACGGAATCGGACTCATTTCTTTCATATCCACTGTTTCAGACAACAGTCCTAACCAACGCAGAATTCATATGCATATTCCATATGCAAGAAAAAAACCCCCAATGCTCTGAGCGCACTTCTCCAGAAAATCGACTCGGAAGGCGCCCTGAAAAGATTCACAGAAGTAAAAAGTGGGAGATCTGGATAACGCAACAAAACAAACAAACAACAACTGAAAAACAAGAATATTGAAAAATTTTGAGGATCTCTGCTGAAGGTGAATTAAACCTTTTCACGGAAAAAATGAAGATTCCCAGCACTGCCCGAACAACTGCTACGGAAACTCGATTCCGACACTGTTATTCCGATGCAGTATAAGCTTGGGGCCATTATGCCAGACCCACCGGTTTTGAATTCCATTTCTCCAACTGATATCAACCCTAGCCTTTTCAGTGTAGAGGTGTCACCTCCCTGACTGAGAATATGCAGTCTACCATACTGTAACTACTTCGGAATCCAGTACACTGCCCCAACTTACACTCATCATGAAAGATCTGTTAATCGGCTAGTGGAAAATTCCGTGTACAGCTCGTAGAATATGACAAACCGTCCCGACCGAACAGTAACTTTTCATCACACTTTCTGCACAGCAAGGCGGCTTTAAACACCTACTCCTACATATTTTCCTGTTAGCTAAGTTTCGACATAATCAATTCGCAAGAATTTTTCAGAACAAGCCCTGACAGGTTCCCGAAGCCTTTCCATACTTCATCTGGAAGGCCGCGTCTTACCCCGCTTATAAACATTGCAGAAATCTGCTGCCTGGTAGCACGAGATTAAAAGTGTGTCGCATCGTCAGCATGTATTGCAAGAACGAAGTGAATTCACCACTGTGGCTCTCAACAACGCGCTGCGCTGGACTCAGGAGCAGAAGCGACTCCAGGGCTACGAAACTGCCGGCGTGCAAAGGCCGGAAAGCAAACGGAACAAAGAAGCAAATACGCAACAAATAGTACATGGCAACAATCAACTCCTGAAACGCTGGAATGATTTGCAGATTACTTTATCACACCGAGCATCATCACAACAACAAGTCAACCAAGACGCTGCCACAGAAGTTTTGTGCATTCGTCCACTCCCACAAAACACCGTCTCAAGGGGTTTAATTTAGGATTATCTAAAATTTGTTGGCTTACAAAGCACATACAAAAGGAACCTTATTGGGACCAAAAGGTGCATCTTGGTGCATATAAATCTACTGAAAATAAATTCAAAGCATTAAAAAATGGACAAATTGTGAAAAATATTACTTGATGAGTTTCCCGAAACCACAGACCTAACGAATCACTGATCCCAGGGCGAGCCCTCTTTAACCAAATGCAGCTGTCTCTTCGCAAGTTCCCCAAACTGCGTCCTCCTCGCTGAAGGCAAGCTCACGAGTTTTGTGCCCAGTGCAATGCAATTTAAATAAACAATTCAGGGAATGGATGATGAGCTGTACTGGCATACGCAGTGCCAGAACACAAACCAAAGGCACAACACAAACCACACGCTACCAAATTACCGAATTTTACATGTTACCAGGGCAAATTTATGAACAAGGCATGTAAATATGATGAACACACTTAATGAATCCACAAAATGTGAAATGTCTGATCAATGCTGCACATACACAGAGCGGACAACTGCATCTGGTGTAGAAATTTCTGTAATTTCTAGAAAAGCTATGTTTAACAAACAACTGCGAAAACCAGTGGCGTATCGAGAACGGGAAGAAAATGCCATTTTTATACCAGGCTTATCACCGGCAGGAAAAACTGAGTCACATTAAGCAACTAAATCGCTCCATTCTAACGATTGAATGCGTAGTAACATGCAAAACTCCCACTTCGGGCGACCCTTCAGCCACAACATCGTCCGATTGCCCCGCACCCTCTTCTTCTTTCTGCTGCACTGTGAGCCTCGTGCCCGATACTGCTTCTAGACTAACCGATAAAATATCCTTCCCAATTCTCGCTTCTCCTAGCTGTACACTCTCTGCTGCTCGGCACATGCTTCCCCAAATTAGACACGGAATTTGGAGAACGGCGAGGTGTATTTTCACTTATCCGAATGCGCTGCAGCTGTAGTTCTTGTCTTGCTTCTGGTTATTACTCGAGATCGAGGTCTGCCACTGTCTTTCCTTTCCTTCGTTCACGATTTCCTTCTGTTCAGCAGATTTCTCTTCTTGCAACACACTGCCTTTGCAACATTCATTTTTCATTCTTACTGGTATCAGATATGAGAATACTGCTCAATTTCGTGCGGCACGAAAAAAGCAATAGCAGCTTTCGCGCATGCTAACGTCCCATGTATGGGTGAGGCAAATTCCGATCGCAAAAATGCGTGACCGCACCGGCAACGCTGAAGGACGTCACTACTGAGTTTGCTTTAATTCGCCTGGTTATCTCATCGTAAACAGACCGCGAATATATGTTAGAAGTGTGTGTGTTGTACATGTATTCGAAAAAGTTGAGAATTTTTTCCCAAAATTTGTCTATAGCAGGTCACTAATTCCCGAAGCTAATAGCACAGCGCATTCGGGCGATGCACTAGTGAGTCCTTTTATAATGGCCTAGCTTAGGAAGGAAACAAAGGCAGCTATTCAAAACCATACCCTGGCACAAACATAACAGAAGCTGTTGCACATTTTTGACTGTCCTTGTCCCCCTCCCCTTCAGTGCCGATTATTGCATTGACAAAAATGATACATTTATGAAATTCCACCTGCTTACAAAATAGAGGCCATTTTCTGTGACGACAATCTCGACTGTCCTCACATTCTTATATCCAACATTCTAACACATTTCAGGATCTAAACTCTTTTTTCTTTTGTCGCCAAATGTGCTGAATTGATTAGCTATTTGGCTTAGCACTTAAGCTAACTTCAAAGGATCTGCATGGAATACAATTTATATGGCCAGTGAATGCTCATTTGAAAAGCGTCGTTACCGGCAGCTCGACACGCCACTGATTAACAGATAAACAGTTAAAAAATCGCAAGAAGAGCAAAAACGCAGTACAGCAAAGCGCACGGATAGGCCACCAACAATCGCTGTCCATCCATTGACAGTGTTGTAACAAACAACTTCGACGACGATATACTACACCACAGTACTGCCGCGCTGGCCACTAAGTACCCCAGAACACCCTAAAAACAATCAAACGAACATTTCATCTTTGAAGCCAGCGACACATGCTTACTATGCATGCGCTCTATAATCGTGAAGACAAGGAGGACTCACGTCTAGCTTTTCTCTCAGTTTTCTCAGTCCACATTTTCTGGATGATAAAACGCACACAATAACTTTTTTTGCGTATATTTTCTAAAAAAAAGCAAACAGTGCAAGATGAAGAACGCAAGATTTTTTCACTTACATTCAAAATCAAGATTTTTTCATTGCAACGAATCCGTTTTTACGCATCTTTGCTGTGCAGCGCTATAGCGCTGCTACAGCCAGCAAAAACGCATATTGTTGAGAGGCTGTGTGTGTATGTTCGGAAAGCGAGTGCATTTTGTCACCCACTTTCATCTCAGCAACCAAGAAAGCTGGGAGGCTGAAACTTCGGATATATGTTCACACCCCGTGTGTCATCCTCCCGTTTTAAGATCTTCCCCCATACGCGCCTGAACCCCGCGTACGGGACCTCCAAAGAAATATGTTGGCAAGAAACGATTTCGCGAACCAGGTAACGCAGAAGGCTGAAACTTTGCAAGGACATTCTCTATGCACGTACGAGACAAAGACTTTAAACTCAGCCTTCTAGCTTCCCAACCACAGCCTAAAGCAGCTCCTGAACCCAAAAATCTTAGCAACTCAGACCTGAACCGCAATTGCATGTGCAAATGAACGTGAATTTTTAGCAACTCGGACCTGGACCGCAATTGTGTATGCGAACGAACGTGGATTTTTTGAAAAACGAGCGTTCGAGCAATACTTTCAATTTTTCAATGAACTGAAAATTTGCGTATTTTCAAAACTCGTTCGCAGCCCGGACCTTAACCGCAATCATATATATAAATGTACGTGCATTTTTTAAAAAAGGACCGCTCGAGCAATACTTTCACTTTTTAGTGAATTGGAAATTTGCATTTCTTCAAAAAATTTGCATTTGTCATTTTTTCACAAAGCGAGCATTTGCTGAAAAAACGACCGGACTTCATGCAAAACCGGTGATCATGCACTTGGATGTGCACCACCTTCATCCCAACTGTAATGTACCACCTTCATCCTAACTGATGCCCCTCCTCTTGCATGCTGGTAAGGATCAAAACACGGCCAATATTAGCCCAAGTGTTAGGCTACAGCGTAGGGATCATTCCGATCTGCGAGTTTAGTGCAAAAACGCGTGGTCACACCGGAAAGCCTGGTGCGTCCCAGCCTGAGTTCTATCTACTCCACATGAAGAAATAATCAGCATACCTCTGAATGAAGCTTTGCAATTCATAATTATCAAGCAGTCAGCAAAGGTAAGAAGGAGGGAGAGGGAACAGCCAGAAATTTCGGACGTCCTTCGGTAACAGCCCAAAAAAGACTCCCTCGCCACTAAACCAGGTTTTAACAAGTAACACATTCATTCTGCCAAGCAGCAGTCAAAATGCTGAGGCAATTCACGGATCTTTCCACTCTCCTCACGGAACTCGTTCATTCTAAGAACAAATTCAGTGCAATTCAGTACAAAATTCGGTGCATCCACTAGTTAAAATGCGCTGTGATACGAACTGTGAAACATGAATAATATAAATGGCAACGCGCACCAGACTAGCCGGTGCGATCATGCGTTTTGTGCAATTCAGCCCATCAAATGATTGCCTGTTAATGATTTTCACTTCCTTGTACTTTAGTCTATGCAAAAATAGTTCAGACATTGAAAAACAGTTAAAAATTTCACGCACCAGCATTTGAAACCTTGAAGGATGAATATCTTTCCGTGAATAGTTTATCCGTCAAAATTTTCACGAGGCCGTAGTTGATAACTGAGAGCGCGAGAAGACTGAATTTGAATGGGCATAGTTGAGCGTGGGCAGGGGGCCATTACCCTACAGCCTCCTAGACTCCGTGGTTCCCGAGATACTAACTTACCCGTGAGTAACTTTCACGGGGCCGTAAGTGTTACCAGCGGGTAAGGGAAGGCTGAATTTAAATGAGCAAGATTGAGGGTGGACAGTGGGTCATAGCCCTAAAATTTCAGCCCCCTAGACTACGAGGTTCCCGAGATATTAACT